TGTCGGCATATTCATTAAACATAATTTAAAAGAAATAACAAAAATTCTAATTATATATTTATAATTATGTATTTGTAATTGTGTTAGAGTTATGTTTGCGTTTTGTTGTTTTGGTTGGTTGTGGTTTGGGTGGGCAATGCCGGGTTTATGATGATTACTAAACACACAGGTAACGGTCTTAACAAAAAGGTTTTTCACAGAAGCCAGAGCAGGGCCTGGCCGGGACGGCTAGTCTAATATATAAAGCTCAATTCTGTATGTAAAAATAAGTGTGTTTGTTTGTCGTTGACATTGAATTACTGAAAAGTAGAAAATAAAACAACTAAATAGCGGCGTATGATACGCTGCGGGTCGGCTCGTTATACATAATACACTACAGTACTATATAGCAATATAGAGAGCGCGACAACTAAATACCCCCTACACGTCCGCAATTTTTTTTCAATCTCGTTAATAAATATTTTTTCTATTTTGTTTTGAATTATTAAAACTACTTGTGTTGCATTATTTATTTGCTCAATTTACTATTTATCTCGATTTAAAATTGTTAAGGATAACATAAGGAAATTGCGCTTAAATTGTCACTAGACTTTTTATTAACTTGTTTCTTTTAGCTAATAACATTATATTATGAATTATTGAAGGACAGACAACAACTACAAAGCTATTACGTTCTAATAGATATAGGGCCTATTTATATACAACTTGACCATTGTTTAAGTTAAAGCACTGCATTTATTTTAATAATTTTTATTATGCCCCGGTATAAAAATCTAAATTGATTCTGTTATTTTTAATAACATTTTTGAAAAACTGATCGTATTTCCGTATATTTTCAAAAGTTTTAGAAACTTTTTTATTCTTGCCTTTTCTATAACATTAATAAACATAGCAAACACTTAAAGCGTCAGCTTTTAACGAGTATATTTGATCGTTTACGTTGTTTAATTATGTTACCGGTAAAGTGTAAAACCCACCATTCTATAAAATACCTAGGTAATGTATATATATATAATGCCTTAAATGGGTCGTCAAAGTGTGAAAGACATCAATATTTCATATATTTTATAGTCATTCTATACAGAGTTTCTTCCAGGCTTCTCTTCGGGAGGGCGAAGCCCAACCCCCCCTCCCCCAAAGAAAGTCTACCCCCCTCCTTCAACACTTTAGCAGTCGGAAAATTTAGTCCGCCCCCCCCCCCCCGGATAATATCACGTGCCCCCCCCCCCTCCCCGGAGAAAATGGTATGAAAGAAACACTGATTCTATAAAATACCAAATAACAAACAGGAAGAGTTTAGTATATTAGCAAAATATCAAGGGTTGGGGATGGGGTGAAGGTTAGGTTTAGGGTTAGGGTTAGGGTTAGATCTAGGCTTAGATTAGGGTTAGGGTTAGGGTTAGGGGTAGGGGTAGGGGTAGGGATAGGGATACGTATACGTATACGTATACGGAAACGGAAACGGATACGGATAGTGATAGTGATAGTGATAGTGATAGTGATAGTGATAGTGATAGTGATAGTGATAGTGATAGTGATAGTGATAGTGATAGTGATAGTGATAGTGATAGTGATAGTGATAGTGATAGTGATAGTGATAGTGATAGTGATAGTGATAGTGATAGTGATAGTGATAGTGATAGTGATAGTGATAGTGATAGTGATAGTGATAGTGATAGTGATAGTGATAGTGATAGTGATAGTGATAGTGATAGTGATAGTGATAGTGATAGTGATAGTGATAGTGATAGTGATAGTGATAGTGATAGTGATAGTGATAGTGATAGTGATAGTGATAGTGATAGTGATAGTGATAGTGATAGTGATAGTGATAGTGATAGTGATAGTGAAAGGGTTACGGTCAGTGTTAGGTTTAGGGCTAGTGATTTTTTCTTGTTCATTTTGTATTTTTTGTTTCATTTTTTTTACTTTCTAGTATATACAAAAAAAAATCTAGATTTTTACGAATCTCGACGTTTTGCACCTCACTGATATGGAAAAACATAATTTTGCAATCTTGTCCGTATGTCTGTGTGTCTGTATGTGTGTGTGTCTGTGTGTGTGTAAACACGATAACTTGAGTACCGTTACAGCTAGGTTGATAAAATTTCATAAATAAGTATTTTATCAAAATCGTAGATCCGTAGCAACTTTTGAACGATTTCCGATAACCGAAAGTGGTACTTTTTCTACTTTGAATTTTTCAAAAGCCTATAGCTTGAGTACTATTTCAGATAGATAAATGAAATTTCACATGTAAGTAAAAGATCTAATTCTCTACCTTCAGTAAAATTTTGAGTAATTTCCGTTGACCGGAAGTAGTAATTTACGCTATTTCCGATTTCTCAAAAAAACGCATGTAAATTTATAAAGTACTAATAATATTGCGCACTCTTATGCACATCTTTATTTGGCATTCACTTGGTGCGCAATTCTTTTTTCTATGAGATTCTATTCTATTTTAAAAAGTTCAAGTATTTAAAATTGATTAAAAATCATTACTATATCCCGAGTTCACATCACCTGCTGTTTTATATTAGAATATTCGAGAAAGTTTAGGGGAGATCACTCCCGGTTTATTACTGCATGTTATTTAAGATATGCAATTGTGGCATTTTACATTTTGTTTGAACAGTTCTTGGCATTCTATATAAAGCCTAGGCATTTTATGTTATGACTAAGAAAAGTATATAACAACTCCGTTATTTCATACTTTGCAAAAAAACGACAGGGATTGTATACATTGCTTAGGCATTCTATAGAATGCCGTGTTTTTATTCATTTTTCGGTAACATATACACCGTTTAAAAATTAAATGCTTCACATTATAAATAGTCTTACCATTATCCGATTCGAGTTCATCCAAAAATATTTCTCCGAACATATTCCAGTAAGCTTTTCTGAAAACTCTGAACATGGTGACACCATCAAGTTTTGCATTAGGATACAAAACGGATTCTGATGCTACGGCATAGCCAATCATTACAACGACAAGTACATACAGGAATATGGTTAATTCCCTGACCTAATAATAGAAATATAAAACACAATTAAATTTTTGTTAATGTAGATGAATTGTAAAAATATGATAGATAGGTTTTCGAAGTAATTAGAAACCTAATGTTTTGAAAATCACAATAACTCAAATCAGCATGTATATTTTTTATTCAACAAACCATTTTTGTACAAAAGTAATATTAGTAGAACGAACTTTAAAAATATATCTCCGGTACATAATCAATAGCCGAGTAACATAAATACTAAGATATTCAAGTTAATAGTTAAATTGCGGTAATGCCAAAACTATAAGTGTAAGGTGCAGGTTAAAAGCTTTTATTAGACTTATTATTCGCAGATGGATATATGAGTGTTGAAATATTTCGTTGCTTAGTACTGTTGTCATTGGTATAAAGTATGGGTTTTAATATAGACCTTTGCATTTTGTATTGGCATGTAGCATATTAATGGAAACAAGTGAAATGGAATGCTTATTGCTTTGTTGTGAGCAGTGGCGTAGCGAGGTCGGGTGTCACCCGGTCCGGCACTTAATGGTCTTAATGGTAGCGACCCTTCCCGGGGACAAACTTTCAAATTTCCGATTTGCACCCCCCTCAAACTTTCGATTTGCACCCCCCCCCCCCCCCGCAAGTTTTCGATTTGCACCCCCCTCAAACTTTCGATTTGCACCCCCTCCCTCAAGTTTTTCTCTATATATTTTGCTATTTTTTGCCTTGGTGTCACCCCCCTAAATGGTGTCACCCGGTGCGGTCCGCACACCCCGCCCCCCTCGCTACGCCCCTGGTTGTAAGTGTCATGTTTCGTACGTTTTATTGTTTTTAATAGTCACAATATGTGAAATAAATAAAAATTCAAAGGAGTTCCAAATAAGACATAGCTAAGAGAAGGACATGTAATAAAAAAAGACATTAATAATTTGAAATCACAAATTTGAAAGTAAACAAATTTGAATATAGAGATTCCATTTATACAACATGGGCATAGGCGTAAGCCTAGGCACAGATACAAGCTCAGACACAGACAAGGACATAGAGACAAACACAAACACAGACACAATCACAATCACAATCACAATCACAATCACAATCACAATCACAATCACAAACACAGACACAGACACAAACACAGACACATATACAAACACATACACAGGCACAGACGTAGACATAATATTTTCATCAAATCAATAAAACAAATACAAAGAAAAGTTACTTCCGCTATTGTAAATATGTTTAAAATCGTAAACGATGATGTAGGCTTAGTTAATGATAATTATAGCCTAAGTTAAAGTTGTGATTTAAAAAAAAAAAACCGGGAGTGATCTCCCTTAAACTTTCTCCAATATTCTTTTATAACACTACCGGAGATGGCAAATCGCGATATAGACATGATTTTAATTTATTTTTAATTACTTAAACTATTAAAAATAGAATAGAAACTCTTAGCAAAAAAGAACTGCGCATCAAGTGAACAAACAAAATGCGTATAACAGTGCGGAATATTATTAGTACTTTATAAATTCACATGCGTTTTTTGAGAAAACTGAAATACCGAAAATTACTACTTACGGTCAACGGAAATTACTCAAAATTCGACAGTAAAAGAAATATAATTGTTACATTCTGGGTACAATTAATTTAATTAGAAAATATATAATATATCCCTTTGGCTAACGAGATTTCAAATTTTAAGCGAGATAGACCCAGACTTACAAGCTGCTTAGTACGATTTATTTTATTACTTTGTATAAGCCCAATATAAAGATAAACATTATTTTCATTTCAGTGTCAGTGTGCACAAAGATTTTTGAGTTTAGAGCTGTTGACCGTATAATGTCGTTGCACGAATAAGTGAATGCGGTCAATTAATGGAAATTAAATACAATGTAGACAGTGATAACTCAATAAGATACGAATGGAACCCAATGGTCGATAGTGGATAAAGTATCATATAATACAGATAAATTTTAAAAAAATCTCACAGCTTTTAAAATCATAATGAACTTTGGTCCCAGTCTTGAGCTGCTGTAGCAAAGATGAAGGAGCCGCATCGAAAAAAGAAAATAATTAAGGCTGAAAACGATTCGAGCTGCTCCCAAAACTAAATCTTTAGAATTGAAGAAATAAGAATAAAATGTATAAATATAACATTAACTTACTGTTAATATAAAAAAACCAATTAGCTATTATTTATTATTAAAAAGTTTGTTTACAAGTTTGTATATTTATTTGTTGTTTTTTTTTTGTTTGTTTGTCTGTTTGGTTACGTGATAGAATCTGCACTATGTGTAGAACTGTAAAATACATATTTAGGTAGAGAATATTTTTTTTACCAAACTATTAATCACAAATTTATTTAAATAAATAAATTTATTTATTAATATATTCATTGGTAGTTACACCACTTAAATTATAAAAGTCCAGAACAATGACTTTACTTATGGTGACACCAAATGATTCTTTTCTATTTACAACAATAATGGCGGCTTCCATCGAAGATTTTGTTGCCCATTCAAAACTTTAACGCATAATAAAGCTAATTTTCTGTCGGCTATAGTTTTAACGGTAAGTCCGTTTGCTATATTTATTACGTTCCAACACTATAATCAATTTTCAGCAGTTCTTCTAATTTGAGTATACAATACATTTCTCTAGATCTACAGATAAGCTTTCGGACGATGGGAAAGTCAATCCTAGATCTAAAATCTAGAATCTAGGTCAAACCAAAAAAAATTAGTTACTAATAAAATCAATTATAAAAACACAATAAATTATTGAGTTTCTTAATTAAACTATTTTAGTCCTTACATATCTAATATAAATCTTTGTTTTTTTGTGTTTCTGTGTCCTCAGTATATGAAGGAATAGTGTGGTCAGAGCCATGCTCCGCTCTAATCTTTTTTTTTTTAAACGATAAAAACATGTTGTCTGAGACTTGGCGGGACACTGGGCAAGTGAAGTAGAGTTGGGTAGGTGTAGAGTTTACCTGTGCGCCAGCATATGAAGGGATAGTGTGGTCAGACCCATGCTCAGAAGACTAAAACGTCCGATGTTTGGCGTCTTTTTGAATGTAGGCTCTGGTTTTTTTTTGTGACGATAAGTGATAGACGTGATGTCATTTATAGATGACCCCCGAGACCCACAGTTATCCAAGGATATGGGTAGCCTAGTTTACTATTATAATTCTATGGAAAAAACAAATATACCTGTCTCCAGAAAGAAAGCAACTAGTCTCAAAATTAAACCAACAACAAATGAGGCCAATGCAGTTACATCTACGATATTCCAACCGCTATGAAAATACTTTTTCATGGAAGATTTTGCCTATATATATATATATATATATATATATATATATATATATATATATATATATATATATATATATATATATATATATATGTATATATATATATATATATATATATGTATATATATATATATATATATATATATATATATATATATATATATATATATATATATATATATATATATGGACATGTATAAATCGAAAATCATGTTATAAAATAAGACGAAAGCATGTATGTATGTAGGCTATACAAATATATTTTACATATGAAGCAGATTACATAAGTTCAATTTATGTTGTTTACCTCAAATATTTCTTCCAATATGTTAACAAGCACCCATCCAAACAAATAGTATTCAATGTTATGGAATGTCCTTACATTTAGGTAGCCCAGTAGTAGAACTCCATATAGAATCAGAAACACTATCAGTCCAAGCTTAAAAATACATAAGAATGAATGAGTTTAAAAAGAATATATATATATATATATATATATATATATATATATATATATATATATATATATATATAATTTTTTTATACTTTTATTTGCCATAAAACAAAATACAACAAATTTACAGTAACAAAATTTACATGTCATTAAATAAATAAGTAGCTAGATTAATCATATACAAGGGCGGAACTACAGTGCCGCCAGACCCCGCCAGGGGGCCCATGCCGTTTAGGGGCCCACGGCCGACCATAATTAATTTTTTTAAAATTTGATTTTCGTGCATTTTTGCCTTGATATTTGGTTTGTAAAATAAAAATACTGTAGCAGCGGTACGATTATCTTTATTTTACAGTCAATATACCACGCTCTCCCGCAAAAAATAAAATCCATTACACAAACTACAGTGTAAAAAATAGGCAAATCTTCAAATGTGAATGACTTCTGTGACTCGTTGCTCCCCCTTGATAGCTAAATAGAGGACACGTAACTGTTTGACCGATACTCCAAAGTGTACTGTGGCGGATGGGGCAGGGGAAGGGGACCAAAAAGGGGGATAAAAAATTGTCAAATTTATTTATATATTTAAAAAGTTATTTATAATTGTATTTTTTTTAAACATCCTCAAGGCCGAGTTCTATTTCCCTACATTCAAACACACGCTGTCGCCTGCAGAATTGTTTAAAAAAAAAAAACAAAGTCCACGGGAAGCCGCTACATATGAAGGAGGCTTTCATGATGCGCGGTTCGTCTTTGCCGCGCGGTATTGATTAGGGACCCGAAATCTATTGTACATTTTTCAATGTCAATATGGGTTTGTGATAGTGGTTGAATTTGTATCCTGTACTATCTTGTATCCTACAAGTAATAAAAAATAATATAATACTAGAAACTTCGGTTTTATATACGTTTACTTGTTTTTGCTTTTACAAGAAATATCATAGTAAACTTTTATGGCCTATACTTGAAATTATCTTCCCTGAGTAAGTTTTCAAATAGGCGATGCTGATACATAGGCGTTTTGTTGTCTCTTTCAAGTTTTTTCCCGAGCCAACCCCCATCCCATCCCATCCCTTATTCTTAGACTCGCAAGTATCGAGGAGATAAATGTATCGTTTATGAACTCCTTTCTAACCGTACATTCAGCACATTTTGTCAGACACTAGACAGATATTAATTTACTTGCATAGTATTAGGCACATCTAATTCACAAAACAGGGAAGGTAAGATTATTTTTTAAATAATTATTTAGAAATTAATTAGAACGTTTAGATTTAATTGAACATTATTAATAGTCAATTACTATTTAGAAATGACGTCATTGAGGTGGGGGGTGTGTGAGGGTCTGGCTTTTTGTTAGTCGTTAAAAGATGTGACGTCATGTTTGGATTTCCCCTCTCCCCCCCCCCCCCAAATCAGAAGGCGTAAGCTGGCCACATATAGTTGTAAATGTAAAAAACATTTTTCTGTCTATTATGCATTACTGCATCATTCACACAATCGCCATGAAAACTTGGGAATCTGTTGAGTACAACCCCGCAAAGGATTTGTCATAGGCCTAACATTTGTTTACATATTGGACTTGGGACGCCCAACGGAAATATGTGATTTAGCGCCCCAAGATCTTGCATAAGCGGATGGGGTTACTCCTTGAATCCACCGGCGGCAGTGTCATCCTGAGCGCATTACATATGAGAAGGTTGGTCACAACTGACAGTCGTTTAAAAGTTCACACAACACTAGGGATACGTTTCGCTACAACACTCGATGACTAAACCTAATCAAGTGTTGCATCAATGTTTCTTGCAGATTTTTTTTCTCCGGGGGGGGGGGGGGTGCACTTGATATTTTCGTTTGGGGGGGGGGGGGGGGTGAGGGGGCGGGCTAAATTATCCGAGGGGGGAAGGTCAGACATTGGTAAAAGTATATATTTTCTAAATAAGTTTCCATTTCGTTCGGGGGGGGGGGGGGGGGCGGTAGACTGTTTTCGGGGGAGGGAAGGGCTCTGCCGGAATAAACAATGTGTCGCGCCCATCACCTGTGCAGTAATGTAACTGGGAGCCCCGTGACTCCCCTGACACCTGGGTCGTCACCGAGGGGCTTGCAGCGTGCCTTGGCATGTCTAGTTAGTAGTGTGGACAAACCCGCGCCCTAAGATCAAAGAAATGAACTGTCGACATTGTTCACATTTAATTGAACTTCTGGAAAACAAAGCACAAGTCTAAAAATGAACTGTACTTTGTCGTGTTTTGCTTTTATTCTACTGTTCCAAATGTCTGTCTATATATAGCTACCGTCCTTGCTTTTTGCTCTAGGTCCGTCCTGTCTCTTTGTTTTGGGATTTTGTTTAGAGTTATAACTATATCGATATTGAAGGTCTCGTTTTTTTGTTATTTTGGTTTCTAACGTCTTTTTCATGTTTAGTATGGTGGGGCATTCTAAATAGACGTGCGTTTCGGTTTCGGGTGTGTTTTGTCTGCATAGTTTGCAAAATGGTTTCTGTTGTTTTGCTAGGGGTGTTGAATTGTAGATGAGTCTGTAAGTTATTTCCCTGGCTTTGGGTGTGATGGTTTTGAGATGTCGGTTCTTGAAGGTGTCTATTGTGTCTGTTAGAGCGTATTTCCTACACCATTGAAATCTGTTGTATAGTGGGGTTGAGAGTTTTTGCACTAACTTTTTGTAGATATTTTGTGATTTTTCGTGAACAAGTTTTTCGTTGTTTTTTAATATTTGTAAACATTCTGTGTAAAAGGGACTATGTTTTCCTCCTATGTAATGTGGAGTTGTATTATTGATTTTTGTAAGTTTGTTTAGCTGAATGCCTATATAGTAGTGAGCTAGAGGGTGAAAGTTTGGTTGGCTAATTATTCTGCTAATGTGTGTTAGTCTGAATGTATTGATTTTGGTCTGAATATCGTGCAGGTTTATTCCTCCATGAAGTTTGTTTTGTACTAACGTGTTGTGGCTAATGTTTGAAATTGTGGTCTGAAATATGTACTCTCTAATGATTTTATTCAGATGTTTAATTGTTGGCTTTGTGATTGTTTTAGCCGTGGCTATATAGGTAATTTTTGGGATGACGTACCTATTAATTATAGATGACCTAGCGAAAATTGTTGTTGAGCTGAATTTGTAAAGTGCTATGGTGTTTTGAATTTTGCTTGAGGCTTGTTTCCATTCATCATCGTTATTGGTGTGTGGGTTGCTATAGTGGGTTATGCCGTAAAGTTTTAGTTTGTTGGTACCTAGCATGTTTAGTGGGTAATTTGGTTTGTTGATCCAACGTCCAAGTCCCATGATTTTGGTTTTCATTAGGTTAATTTTTGACCCGCTACCCAGCCCAAAGTCAAGGAAAGTATCTGTTAATATTATGATAGATTTTTCGGTTTGCAGCGTAAATGCTGTATCATCAGCGTACGCTAGAATTTTTTTGTTTAATTGGTTTGGAATGTCGATTCCTCTGATGTCTCTAGTGTTTCTAATGCATTCTAACAGGGGTTCGAGTGTTAGTGTATAAAGGATTGGAGATAGGGGGCAACCTTGTCTGACTGATTGATTTATTCTAAAGGGTGGGGAAATATTATGGTTTATCAGTAGGTGTGCATTAAAATAGATTATTTTATCCATGCCGTAAAAGCGATTGCAAAAGACAATGATAAATTCGAGGTACTGTAGTCGAAAACAGGCAGTTCTGCCGGCGACCCAGCATGATGCGATTTGGCGCCCCGGGGTAGACGGTGAGCAAAATGCGTGTATGTTTTCGTTTGTGTTTTCTTTGTGTTTGGGTTGGGTTTGCGTTTGGATTAGGTTTCTTTTTGTTGGCTTTTTCATTTTTGTTTGTATTTTATTTGTGTTTGTGTTTGTGGTTAGGTTTGTGTTTGCGTTTGTGTTTGCGTATGTGTTTGTATTTGTGTTTGCAATATGTTTGCGTTTTTTTGTGTTTTGGTTTTGGTTGGTTGTGGTTAGGATGGGCAATGCCGGGTTTATACTGATTAATAAACACACATGTCATGGTTATTTTCAGAGGGGTTTTTCACAGTGGCCAGTGCAGGGCCTGGCCTGGACGGCTAGTATATATATATATATATATATATATATATATATATATATATATATATATATATATATATATATATATATATATATATATATATATGAATCAATTATCTAAATTAACTAAAACTAAATTTTAACTTACTGCATTTAAAATCACCATTGTTTTCGGAGCACCTATTACTTCCAGTATTTTTCTTAGTTTTTCGCTGTTAAGAATAAGACGATTGTAATATAGTTGTAGTTAGTTTATTTTACTATTTTCCAATAACATAAACATTTAATATGCATTAATATATCAATTTTTAATAATAATAGATATTAAGTACATTTGTTAAAAATGTAGACATGATTGCAAAAAACATGAATAAATTTTTATTTACTAAAGTAGTTTAACACACATAAAAAAACAGCATTCATACCCCATGTATCACGGCATATAAAAATTAAACCAAACTTAAATACTTAAATAGTAGATTTAAATATGTTATTACAATATATTTAAAAAATGTTATACCTAATTTATAAACTAGAACTATTCACTAGATATACTCTAACTTCAATAGGTATACCATGACCTTTCACCGGCCCGAAGTGTAACTACTCGAACACAGTACAGATAGTTTTGTCAGAAAAATAAGGCTAAAATGGTAATTTGATCCCATTGCGCAGCTAGTAATTGTATTTAATTTGAGCCTATTTCGTTTTGCATTTTCTGCCGACCAGACTAGCGCTTGGGGGGGGGGGGGGGGAAGGGGGGGGAAGAGCTTCTTCCGAGTAGTCACTTTCATTATTTTATAGAACCCTGGTGCAGCTTATGTTCACGTGATTTTGAGAGAGAAAGAGAGCTATAATTTCAAGTGGTTTGAGACAGGGGCGGAACTACCATACCGCCAGACCCCGCAATGCGGGGGGGGGGGGGGCCA